TTTAGCAAATGATAAATATTCTGCCATAATTTTACCTGATTTCTACTCCAGATGCAGTAACTATCTTCGGCCAGCAGGTGGCGCAGACATTCAGCTACTTGGCACGGCATTTGGCAGCGGTCAGTCCGCGGTGGAGAGAGGTCACAAAAGTGGCTGCGCTTATCTTAGAGAGTATACGGCCTTGCGGCCGCAACCACTAAGAAAGATGAGGCTTTACCACTGCAGCTGCAATGGGAAGCTGTGGAGCCTGCTGAAAGCCAAGGCCTACTTCTGAGGCCTCTCGGCTAGGGTCAGGAGGCCTTCGGGCGTGGGTAGGCTGCAGGCCAAGCTGGTATGGTGCCTGTAGCTAGAAACTGCGACAGAAACCGTGGGGAGGTCTGTGGATGTCTCCCAGCAGGGCAGACTGTTCTGAGCAGCCCAGCAGCAGCCGGAACGTGCTTGTGTGGTGCAACGGGTCGGCTGCGAGCTGGAGCACCTGTGGAGAGAGGGCGCTTTCCGGGTCTAGGCTGCAGTCCTGGTGGGACTTGTAGGCTGTCCCAAATGGAGGCCAGGTTTTCAATATCCCACTCCTGAGACCAGATAATGTGGGAAATTACCAATACAGATCCAGGCAGAAATACAAGGGATTTTAATGGGGAAAAGCCTTACTTACAGAGCCACCTCGCCCGCTGGCGCAGCAGCAGTCTGTACAGCAAGTCTAAAGCAAAAGGAAACAGAAACCAGCCACTTGAATGCCCCCACTCTGTGTCACCCTGACCACACCCTAGGCACACCTTTAGCGAGCCCCTCAGCAGGTGTGGCTACAGCTTCCCCTACAACTTATGTGCAGTATGTTTTAACAAAATTAATCTCAAATTTGAATCAATATGCAAAATTTGTGTATAATATACAAAAGTCCAATCCAGTGTAAAATATTTAAAACTAGTAGTTGCTTTTTAGAATTAGAGTCAATAATGTACCGTTTCATCTCATCATATCTATTTCCTCCCTTTTTTCTTTTCAGAGTAGATCCAGTAATCTACCCATTTGTCCTGTCATATCTGTATCCCCCTTTTTTCTTTTCAAAATAAGAACCTTGAGTCCAATCTCATTTGTTTAGCTTTTTTCCCTGACCATTACCAATAACAACTTTTAACCAGTTCCCCTAAACGATGACAAAAATCCATAACGAAATCAAAGACAAAAACTACCCACCCTATCTCTTGGGAATGAGGGCATCATGTACTTAAATTTACTTGCTGATGTCTGGGAGTGATTGCATCTTTAGGGGATCCTGAAAAGAAAGATTTGAGTTAATTGTCAAGTCCTGGGAGAGGTAGCCATATCATTTTGTCCAGTCTACGTAATGGGAAAGAGTGCAGGGCTTGTCTCAAATCTTGACCTTAGTAGTTTGTGAAGCTGGATCATCTCCGTTAGCCATCTTGAAATTGTCACGAGCAGTTTCTAGTGCAAAGCCAATCTTTAGTTGGTGTTTTTCAGCTTAATGGTGTTACCATAGTCCTGGTGGAATTGTTGTTGTGGGGCCCCACGCTTCTTTTGGAGTCTTCAAAGGTCACTGTTAGGCATGCTCATGGTTCATTGCAGGAAACTTATACAGACTCAAACTGGAAATCATGTACAGGAAGCTAGATGAAACCTTTCTCTTGAATTAGTTAGTAGTCTATGTGACCATTAATATCATGACAAATATATATATATATATATATATCCAAATAAATATCCAAATATGTATATATCCAAATATATATCCAAATTAATTTTTAAATGATATACCTAAAGAAAAGCTTCTGGGAGTCAAAATCAAACCAAAGGGTTATGAGATTAGCAGGAATATGATAGTCCTTAAATGTTTGTTTTTCTTCTGTCCCATATCAGTGGGCTCTTCTGACATGAGACTGAGATTTGGATTTTCCTTTAACAAGCATGCTTGGGTTTAGAGAAGGAGAGAGCCACACTCCAGCTCCAAAGCCAGCCTTAATCTTTAATTGGACTGGGACTGAAAAATAGACCAAACGTATCATATGTGTGTAAAGAAATGTAGAAATATACATTTGGGAAGAATTGTGAAATTTTGTCCTGTTGTAAATGTGTTATACCAATAGGCCAATTTACTCTCTTTCTTGGGACATTTTTTTTGGATTATTTATCCTTTTTCTTAATGTGTCTCATTTATTCCCCGGTCTTCAGACCCTGAAAAGACAAAAACAAAACCCTTCTCCAGCCCTAATTTTGGGGAGGTTCTGTTTTGGCAAGCTATATTTGATCAAATGAAAAACATTTCTTAGTTTTATAGGTTAGTTTAGATTAAACGGACATGTTGCTTGATGAACTATCGTCTCTTCTCATTAAGAGGTGTCATGTTCAAATGGAATCTTTATCAGTTTTGATGGTATCTGTATTTTTTTCTTCACCTGTGGAAACAAAAGCAAACCCTCTCCCCCAAGGTAACACATGTCCTGGTTTCCATTCAGAGGTCAGCACATCTTTGAAGTACACTGACTGGTTTAATTCTCTAGTTTTCTTTATTATCCAATGTCTCTCTGAAGCTGTTGTTCCTTTGTCATTGTCATTCAGAAAATTCAAAGTTAATAAAGCACCGTGCAATCTATTTCTGGGGTTCTTTACCATCCTTTTCTGTTTATTTTGCATATCTTTTAGCATTGGATTCGATTTCTGTAACTGCCTGCCCTGTAGGATTGTGGAGTATACCTATAATACACTTTATATTATAATGAGCAAAAAACTGTTTCATTTTCTTAGAGACATATGCTGGGGCATTGTGCAGGTATACCCATGATGGCCATAACGTCTAGCAAATATGTAATTACCAAATCAGCCTTTTTGGAACTCAAAGCAGTTGCCCATTGAAAATCTGAATAGGTATCAGTGGTGTGGTGTACATACTTTAATTTTCCAAATTATACCAAATGGAACACATCTATCTGCCAAATTTCATTCTTTTGAGTACCCTTGTTTAATTCCTGCAGGTGGTGGAGTTTGGTTATATAAAGAACAAGTAGGACATTTCCTTGGCTTATTGCCATGTGATGGGAAAGTCTTTTTTTTTTTTTTCAAACATTTGCTATTGACATACTAGGCTTTTTATGAAATTCTGATATCTTTAGCACATTCCCTATCAATAGTTGATCAATTTCATGATTGCCTTGTGCTAGAGGACTTGGCAGACCCATATGGGACCAGATGTGTGAGTGAGATATGATGACTCCTATTCCTGATTATGTCTTGTAACTAAATAAAAAAGTCAATTCTGTATCATCTGGTATAAATACAATTGTTTCAATATGCAAAACCAGTCTTTCTGCATACTGTGAATCAGTAACTATATTGACAGGTTCCTTATGATCCATTAACACCATAAAGATTGCATATAATTCTGACTTTTGGACAGTATTATAAAGACTTAGATCGACTTTACTTAAATTTTCTGATTTGTATCCTGCCTTTCCTGATTTATTGCATCAGTATAGAATGTAGGGCCTCCAGTTATTGATGTTTCCCTTACAATGTGAGGAAGGATCCAGTTAGTCCTCTTCATAAGTTTAATTCTCTTGCTTTGGGGATAATTGTTGTTGACCTCTCCCAAAAAATCACTACAAGCTCTTTGCCAGGGTTCACTTTCTACCCATAGTTTTTCAATTTCTTCCTTAATAAAAGGTACTATAATTCCTGCTGGTTCTATTCCTGCTCATTGGTGAAGTCTCAATTTTCCTTTTGTTTTCCATATAAGTTTTTAATTTCTTACTTGGTTTATCTGGTCAGAAGATCCATTCTGTGTTAATACCTTCCCTCTGCATTCAAGTTCCCATGGGGGTTCTTAGAGCGTAGGTAATATGACTAGATTGCGGTTAAGATTTGGATCCCCGTGATCCACGTGTGCAATCTGTACCTTGTCTTCCACCAGAGTCAATTCTCTCTCAGCTTCAAATGGTAATTCCCTGGGACTATTTAAGTCCTTGTCACCATCTAAGGTTTTGTTTAAATTAATCAGGTCATCAGGGTTTATCCCAGTAATGTGCCAGAGATAGGAAATGTCTCCTAGCAATCTTTGAATGTCAGTAAGAGTCTGCAATCAGTCTCTCCTAATTTGTACCAATTGGGGTTTAATTTTTTTATAATCCTATTTTATAGCCTGCATAATCAATAGAATTTCCTCTTTGAATTTTTTCAGGAGCAATTTGTAATCCCCAGCAAACCAAAATTTTCTTTACTTCTTCAAACATTCTTTATAAAGTATCTACATTTGAATCACATAGTAAGATGTTATCCATGTAATGGCAAACTATTGATTGAGGAAATTGCTTACATATTGCATCTAACAGCTGCTGTACAAAATATTGGCACAGGGTGGAGCTATTTAACATTTCCCATTGATAGCTCTTAACAGGCTGAGAAGCATTATAAGTAGGCTCTGTGAAGGCAAAATTTCACTGTCTGTTTCTTGTAATGGTATACTAAAGAAACAGTCTTTTAAATCAGTAACTCTGAGAGGCCATCCTTTAGGCGATAGAGAAGGCAAAGGAATTCCAGGCTGTAAAGAGCCCATTGGTTGTATCACCTTATTAACAGCTCTTAAATCTGTTACCACAGTTTCAGGCAGTGCAGGTAGAACATACTATTTACTAGTTGGATTCTTGGGCTAAATTCCTAGCTAGATGGGTTAAAATATTGCAGGATGTCTTAACTCTATGGTTCTGTCCTACCTCCAATTATGCACACAGAGTCACTTGCCTAACAGTCCATATTCCTTCTGTGTAGAGAGGCCTAATAGATACTCTGGGTGGGTCTGGCAGGGCCCCCCACCCCCCCACCCCCCCCCCCCTTCCCGGTGGTTAGCGTTTAAAGCTCAAGGTTTGATATGTACTGATTTTTATTGTGTGTGTGTGTGTGTGTGTGTGTGTGTGTGTGTGTGTTATTTTTTTTGTGTACAAGTAATGGCACACATTTGTGAATTTTGTCACGTTTGTCTCTTGTGATTTCAGGACAAAGATTGCCCAAGATATCGAGAGGCTGATACACCAGAATGACATCATAGACCGGGTAGTGTATGACCTAGATAACCCCAAGTGAGTCTGAATTCTAAGCCTTGCAGTCATAGGTTGTAGTTTTTATATTAAAATGTTAGTGTTATTTCTAAAAGATAAATCATTATCTTTTTATCATCTTTTTATCATACTGTATTGTTGCTGTTTTCATCCTTTAACAGGCAGGTATATGATGATCATGGTAAATGATCTTCTTCTTCTTTTTATTTAAAGATGAAAGATAACATAAACCATTCTAGTCACTGGAGTTCCCACCCTGGCCTTGTGTCTCGGCAAGCCAGCCATTTGCTACTTTTGAATTATCAGTGATAATGTATGTAGGGATTTAATTGTAGTAAATAAATAAAAATTATAGCTTCTCAAATAAGAGACATAGTCAGCTCTCCATGGGCTTCTCCTCTCCTTACTGTGTCACTACTTTGAGAAAATTTGCCGTTTTGCCTGTCATGATTGGAGGAAACAAACTGTTAAACGTGATTGTTGGTAGACATGAGTAAAAGCTCTGTCAAAGGTGGTGACAGAATCTAGAATATTCTTTGTTGTTGTTCATGGCAGAGTCCCCCACTGTAGCTTAGGCTGACATGGAACTCACTGTGTAGCCCAGGCTGACCTTCAACTTACAATAGTCCTCCTGGTTCATGAGGCATGTGTCACCATTCTTGACTTTAAAATATTCTTACACAAGGAAAGAATAACATACCTTATTAAACATGTAGTTATTTCATTGTTCATGCTTCCATGTTAGAAAACATGGAAAAACAAACCCCAGATCCCTGGCTATGGGCTCCTAATACATGTGACTTTGGACACAGTTCACTAGTTTTGTTTTGGACTAGAATCTTGAGGGGGGGATGTTAATCTCTGAGGGTCAGGCAGACAAGTGAAGTGCCTGGCCTGCAGTGCTCAGCCATGGGATAGGAAAACCCTAAACCTTCCGTGTAGCTAAAAGCAAAAACTGAATGGTTTGTTAGAATTATGGCTACTTACCAAGCAGTTTTAAAAAGAAATCTCCTTTCCCCAGGTGATAGTCAGTGTTTTAGAAATGACATTTATTCAGCCACGTTTAGTCCTTATTATGGGTATAATGTGGGAACAAGTTTCTTGTAATTATAATTTGAGTATAAATGGAAGTCAAATTTTTCTTTGTTGTATTTGCTATATTCTTTGTTTTAAAAGGAAGGAGGGAAGCAATGCGTGCTTTTGATCTATCCTCTAGTTTTAGTCTTTGCTTATCTGTTTAAGTATGATATATTTTAATATGTTTATTTAAAAACTTTTACTTAGCTATGTCACTCCAGAAGACGGAGATATTTTGAAGTTTAACTCAAAATTTGAATCTGGGAATCTGCGTAAAGTGATTCAAATTAGAAGGTAAGCCACTTAAACGTTCTCATTTTGTGTGCGCATAGACACTCCCGACTTGCCCTCAGTTGTCTTTGTCTTGTCCTTTTAGAAGCGAGTATGACCTCATTCTGAACTCGGATATAAACAGTAACCATTATCACCAGTGGTTCTATTTCGAAGTCAGCGGGATGCGGCCTGGCATTGCATACAGGTTCAACATCATCAACTGTGAGAAGTCCAACAGCCAGTTTAACTACGGTGAGACTCCTGCTCCTCCTGTGAGGGCGTGCAGACAGTTACCTGTAGGACCACCTGGTAACATGCTGCATAGGTTTGATTTTAGGATATTAAATCAGCCTGTTGTCATTTATAGAATAAGCCACAGAGTTGCTAATGTTTTGTTCAAAATTCTTGCTAAGCTGGGCACAGTGATGCATGTCTGCAGTTGCCTCTAATTCTAACCCTACCTAAGAGAGAAAATGCAGGACAGCATGGGGAGGGGCGTTTGCATTTCAGGCTGGGACTCCAGTTCAGTGAGTTTACGGCTCAATCCGTAAAGCTCTGCATTTTACCCTCAGCTCTAGAAGAGAAAAAAGAAAAAAAAAGTAGTTTTAGATTTGTGTGTAGGGCATTGAACTTCCCCTTGCTGTACTCCCCCCAGCCCCCTCCAGTCTGCTGTTGCTATCATGATAATACTGACTTGGTACAACACGACGTGTCTTCCGTCCATCTTCTGAAAGTCCTTGTTTAGAGCTGGTGCTAATCCTGCAAGGTGGGGGCGGGATGGAATTTTCTAGTGAAACCATCTGAGCTTTGTGACTTTCTTTTGTTGGCTCTATTGTAAACTGGGATCATTTCCTTAGTGGTTGAGGACTGTTGGTGCCCTGTTAAATGGGAACTGAGTTGCAGTAGCCTCTGCTTTTTCTAGTGGGTCTATTTCTTTCCAGGTGTCAGTGGGTCACTGTTCCTGTGTGTCACTGTTTCTTTGTTTGCAAGATAACCCCAGTTTCATTTTCTGGAATCATAGCTGCATCTCTGCCCTTCTTTGTCCAGGTCTTGGTTAGCTACCCACACAGAACTCAGGTTTTGCTTACCTTGTATCCACTGAATACCGGATGCGGGACAGATATGTTTCTGTTCTTGGTCTGTTTCTGTCCCTCACAGAATGGATACTTACTGCACAGTTTTCTGACAGTGTTGAAGAATGAGCATGTTGTTTATTGCCTTAAGGCTGCTGTGTTCAGTGCCTTAAATACCAAACTAAGGATTAGTTGTCTAGCATCTGGTCAGTAGTCAAGAACTATGTCTATGGATGATAATTAAACTTTGCATTTAAAAATGAAACTTCAAATCTAACAATAGCAAGTCTTTTGTATAGTATACACACAATTATAATCTAATACACAAAACATCCCTTTTTTACGCATTGGGGAGAAAAATGTTACACACTGATGGGGGTCTCCGTCATTGGTTAGGAAGATTGGAAAGCTTTCAATGAGAGACAAAGACCCTGCATCACGGGCTTCCCGTCATTTCCCTGCGGTGTTAAAAGCATGTAGTCGTGATGTTGCTCTTTAAAGAGGAATTTCTGAAATCCAAGGCTTTTGAGAGGTGAAGAGCTTGTTGCCAGTTGTGTGTGCGGAAGTGGGAAATGGTGTACTCTAGAATACCTCATTTGTATGAGATGAAGGTTTTAAATTTATTTAATGAAATAATAGTATGATTAGAAAGTGTAATATTTGGCATGGTTACAAATACTTTTTAGAAATTTGAAGTCTTACCAAATTTTCAAGTAATCTTGTAAAAGTAAATATGCATAGTTTGATTAAAACATCAGTAGTTACATTGGTTTGCACCCCTGGTGATTGTAGATGGAAGTTTCTGTCCCACCCAGTCCCGCAGCTGTTTAGTTTGCAAATAAACACACAGAGGCTTATATTAATTAGAAACTGTTTGTCTGATGGCTCAGGCTCCTTATTGGCTACCTCTCTCTTAATTATTAACCCATTTCTATTAATCTGTGTATCTCCATGTGGTCTTATCTTACTGGAGAATTCCTAGGTGTCCTACCTTCCTGGTGGCTTCATGGCGTCTCTCTGACTCTGCTACTACCTTTCTCAATTCCTGTTTGGATTTCCCATCTGTCCATTGGCTGAGTTTTATTCATCAACCAATAAGAGAAACATACAGCACACAGTAGGACGTCCCCATCACACGATAGTAATATTCTTGATGTAGTCTGTTTCATCCCCTTTATTTTTGGTGGTTTTAGTGAATAACACAATCACTGACTGTGACATTTATATCCATCCAAGTGCTAGACAAGCAGCTTCCCACGGTGGTGTGGCCAGTACCGGAATGGAAGGAACCTCACTCAGAAACATGTGCTGACCTTTAGCCTTGTCATATCTTTAAAATTGAAACTCAATCTAAGTATCATCAAGATAAATAAAAATACTTTTTTAGTTCCTTATTTAACTGAATACAATGTTTTTGGAGTAGAAAAGAACAGTTAAGTAAATTGATTTTATTTGTATCTTGGGTGTCCTTTAAGAGTAAAATAAAAAGATTATCTATCTCTGTGCAGTAATGGAATTTTTGAGCAGTGCTGTAAGGTGGTATTTTACGAACTTTTATTTTTTTCTTAAAAACAATGCTGTTAACATCTTAAACTTGATTGAACAGTTAAAGTTTTAAATTGAAAGTGCTTATCTGGAAAAGCCTCTCTGCTTTGCAAAGCTCTCCCTCCACATGAGAGAGAAATAGTCTCTTCTCTGTGTCAGTCAGAGTTCTAAAATGAGTACATTCTATAACTAAACCACTCAGACCAGTAGGGCAGCTGCTGCTGCTGTGTTCTTAAATCTGCTATCCTGGCCGGCTCTCCCCTGGATGTCCCTGGGTGTGTTCCACACTTCACCCTCGAACAGTGGGGTCCCAAAGGATAAAATAGATGCTGGCCTGTGTAGAGACAGCCCCTGCACACAGCAGCTGAACACAGCTGCTAACACAGTGCTGATATTGCTGACACATAATAATCTCAATGACCATGCTGTTTTGTTCCATGTGTTTTAATTAAAATCGAATTTCTGGCATTTTTTTCTGGCCCTTGAATATTCCTTTGAAATACTTTCAGTGAGGTTCATCCAATTTTTGTCAGGGGCCAGAAATTGCTATTTGATTATAGATGTTTTCTACATGCTCTTGCTTAAGGTAAATATCAGTAGCTTTCCCATGAAAGTCAAAATAAAATATGCTGTGCAGTGTCCTCCATGTGAGTAGCTGTCCAGCTTTGGACAGTGCTGATGTGTAATGATTTCTTGTGTAAGTGATACGTACATGTCCATTGGTAGCTTAGAGTTGTGGACAAAAAGTGCAGGGGTGCGTGCATGCGTGCGCGTGGGGTGTGTGTGTGTGTGTGTGTGTGTGTGGTGTGTGTGGTGTGAGAGAGTGTGTGTGTGTGGTGTGGTTGAGTGTGGTATGTATGTGTGTGGTGTATGTGTGTGTAGTGTGTGTGTATGTGTGTGGTGTGTGTGTGGTATGTGTGGTGTGTATGTGTGTGGTGTGTGTGTGGTGTGTATGTGTGATGTGTATGTGTGTGGTGTGTGTGTGTGGTGTATGTGTGTATAGTGTGTGTGTAGTGTGTGTGTGTGTGTGTGTGTGTGTTTTATGTGGTGTGTGTGTGTGAGTATGTGGTGTGGTGTGTGTGTGTGTGTGTGTGTGTGTGTGTGTGTGTGTGTGTGTCGTGCTTGGGCTTTTTCTTCTTTTATGTATTTAAAATATTTTATTTGAAGACACAGCTGATGGTTTATTCATTTCCTTTACAAGTTTTGCTTTAACTTTGACAGTCTAACCATTGCTTTCATTTCTCTAGTTGCCACCTCCACCCGCCCCCCAATTTGAGAGTTTTTTTTTTTAGCTGATTCTATTTAGTTTTCTTGAAAATTACCCTAAAGCAATTTTACAGTATATTTCTTAGAATAATGCTCTTTGCATTGCTAAATTTGAGAATCTGTGCCACTGTCCCCACACCCTCTTTGTCTGTTCCTTGAAGTGGATTTTCTGAAATTGCCACTAGGTGGCGGTTTTACATTTAATAAGTCAGCCCAGTTTCAAACTTGTGTTTCATTCTCTCCCTGCATCAGACATGTTTGGGGACAGGTGACAGTGCACAGCTGGGGTTATCTGGGTTATTAGTTCAGGCAGTGTCCCTTGTGACCTTCCCTTCCCTTCCAGCCTGATGTTGTTTAGTCCTGTTACTAATACTTTCCCTGCCGTCTCACTGTGTATGTGTGTTCTTTGAGACAGGAACACAGGACTGTTCTGTACACTGGTAACATGGCTCATAGCAGATGTTTAGTGAGTGTTTGTTAATTGATGCAGAGAATGTGAGGACTGTGACTGTCATTCTGCTAGCACAAAGTGAGCATGCACAAGAGACTTGTCAGAGACCCTAGTCTAGTTTAAGACCATCGACCTTGTATGTATGTTATGTGAGTATATGTGTTTGTGTGTGTACATGGCATGTGTGAGCGTGATGTGTGTTGTGTGAGTATATTTGTGTATTATGTATGTGTTGTATGTATATGGTGTGTATATGTTTGTGTGTATGTATATGAGTGCAGGTGGTGCATGTATGCTATGACATGAGTGTTGAGGTCAAAGGACAACCTTAGGTGTCCATCCATCTTTGCCTTCATTCTTGTTTGAGTTGGGATCTCTGTTGTTTATGGCTGTGGGCGTCACTGTGTAGGAGGAGGTGGGCACTGCAGGGCGTCACTGGGTAGGAGGAGGTGGGCACTGCAGGGCGTCACTGGGTAGGAGGAGGTGGGCACTGTAGGGCGTCACTGGATAGCAGGAGGTGGGCACTGCAGGGCGTCACTGGGTAGGAGGAGGTGGGCACTGCAGGGCGTCACTGGGTAGAAGGAACACACTGGGTGTATAAAGTGGGAAATTAACAATACGGAGCCGGATAGAAATATAAGGGTATTTAATAGGGAAAAGCCTTACTTACAGAGCGACTTAGCCAGGCAGCATGGCAGCAGTCTGTACAGCAAGCCAAAAAGTGAAACTGAAAGCGAAAGCCAGCCACCTGAAACTCACTCTACGTCACCCTAATCACACCCTTGCAGACGCACCCCTAAGTAGGCAGCTTCCCCTACAATTCCCCTTTTAGGCTAAAAGAGGATTACAACTTAACAGTGTAAAGTATCCAAAATTAACAATCATAAAGGTGAAATATAAGAAGATACAACAATCTG